AAATCTACTATAACACAAACCAAATATACTCGTCATCAGTTCAAAAACAGTCCAAAAATACTTTAAAAAAATCTAATAGATCAAAATACATGACACTACGAGTAATATGATTCACTGTCAATTTTCACCTAAGTTAATCCAGTGACACGAAGGATAAGGAAGGAAATAAACAAAAACAAAAACAAAACTTACCACGGTGGCTGCGACAGGTTTGCACGTTAGAGAGAGGGAGACAAAAAAAATTTTGGATTGGAAGGAAGAATCAAGATGCGTCTGGATTAAGGGACCATCTAACTCGGTCAACACACAATTTACGTGTCCACTCTAAATAGCTCTAGATCTATCAATTGGGGTCATGTCCGCTTTAAATTGTGCATAATTCCTACCATTTAAATTAAAATCGCATTGGACGTATCTGATTTGGTCAAAATCGCGTCAAATGCAGCACAGATTTACTTATCCCAATTTTTGGAATTATCTTCGGAACTAGCTAATCATATATTTAATATATATATATATATATATATATTAGAAATATCCAACTTTGAGAAATTAAATTATAGAAAGGGGAAAAAAGGTAAAAGAAAAATAGTTTATCTCTGTCCAATTTTCTCCGATGAATTTTAGAAATATCCAACATTGAGAAATTAAATAATAGAAACGGAAAAAAACAGTAAAACAAAATTAGTTTATTTCTGCTCAGTTTACACATTCCGTTGTAGTCTAGTTGGTTAGGATACACGGCTCTCACCCGAGAGATCCGGGTTCAAATCCCGGCAACGGAAATTATGTTTATGCTTTATTTTTTTCTAATCATTTTACGAATTACCAACTTCAAAACTTTTTTCTTTTTTCTTTTCTTTTCTTTTTTTAAGATCGTAAGGAAATTTCTTCCCATCCAAATTCGTCGATTCCTTGATTTGGTTTTGAATAATAGCTCAGGCTCCATCCTTTTATGAACAAAATAAATGGTAACAATGCTTTCTTTTTTTCTATTAAAATTTACGCTAAATTCAAAAAATAAAAAATAAAGCTTTGCGATCTATTTCAAAAATCCCATATATTTTTAATGTTTCAATACTACCATTGCCTTCCATAAACGTTTCAAAAATATTGTTTGAACAAGGTTTTATATGTCAACGTGGATAAAATATGGATTTTTCCGTAAAACTTAGATAAACGAAAAAAATCGTAGAAAATATTTAAATTAAAAAATAAACAATTTTTTATTTCTAAATAAGTTAAAAATAATTAATATAAATATTATGTATATATTAGTGACATTTTGTTGATATTTTTCATATTTTGTCAAATTTTTTTGTAATATGATGGAAATTTCAATTGCCCCTTATGTCGATGACAAATTCCCATGGACACATGGAAATGTCGATGAACGTGTCAACAAATATTTAATACTATGGAGCAAAAATTATTTATATTTTGAATAGAAAATTGACATGGTAGAATACATGTCAGTTAATGGAAGCTTGCTTCCAATTATTTGTCACAACAACAAATTTGACCTTCAACATGGTCAATTGTGAGTCTCATTGTTACTACCAATTAATCACGTCGCTTCAGATTCTGCGATGTCAACTTCCCTTTCAAAATATTAACAAATGTTTTGCTTAAATGATACGTTCTTGAAATATTTATGAAAGGTGATCAAGATTAGTATTAAAATTTTAAAATAAGAGTACTTTTAAATTTAAGGGATGAGTTCAGAGGTATTCTTTGTAATATAGTCTAAACATTTATGCACACAGCTCCCATTTCAGCTAGAATTTGCAATTGGAATCTTGTTTGAGTCTTCTTGTTATTGTTGTTTGTTTCAAATTCATGAATTAATTATATGTATATTGTCTTGTTCTTGGAGTTCTTAATTTGCATATGATTTTGTTCCATCCATCTTCAATGATCTTAGAATATCTAATTTTTCTTTCATTTCGCTCATCATGTCTACTCACTTTAATGCTCATTGTTATATGTATCTGAGGAGGTAGAATTTGTTGCTTTGCTTTATATTTCCATGCTCAATGATTAATTTTTACTTTGTTTTCAGAAAAAGGGTATTACTTGGAAATAGGAAGAATAATATAATATTTGATGTAAGGCAGATTTTGAGATCTTAATTATTGCTTGAATTCAAATGGTTGAACCGTAAACCAAATCCCAGACGGGTCCTCTGGGAGGGTCAATAATTGTGATGGCATCCAAGACAGAGGGTGCCACCGGTGGATTGTTCATGGAGAGAGAGGAGGTGGACGCCTGAGTTGAGTAATGAGGGGGAGGAGGAGGAGGGGCAGCAGAGGTGGTGAGGTGTGAAAGGAGGGAGGCTGCTTATAAATTGGGTATAATGTCGGTTGAAACCGAACCGAACTCAATTATATCGAATCGGTTTGGGTCATATTTTATTCAAACCGAACCGACCTGATTTCGGCTTGGTTCCGGTCAATTTTTCGGGTCGGTTCGGTTTCTTTCACCCGTATGTACGTATAAAATTAAGAAAATAAATTGATCCCCTTCTTCCTTTGTTATATAACATTCCGCTCATAATTTGAGCGTAACTCAAATGATTACAATAAAAACTTGGTGAATTATGGCCAACGGTCGGTTGGTAATTCAAAATATGGATGCAACAAGATGTTTTTTAACTAAATAAGGCAACTTCGAAAGCTGCTATAATTGGTTGTCAAATAATCAGGATCATAGGTCAAATATTCAAAATACCATACCAATAGCAAAAGCAATGTAACAACAGTAACAACAATGCAATAACAGACGACAACAATGATAATAGCGTGAGATATTCATCAGTCTGATAATACAACATTGGAGAATAAATAATATGTGCAAGGCAAGATTAAAATGATCTTGATCTTGACGTTTCATTATTTTATCATTTTTCCACAAATTGGGATGAGCTTCTCGAATACCAAATTTGCTTCTAAGTTCTTTGAACGTGACTTCATTAGTGACTTGGTGGTGAAGATAGATGCAAGTTGAAGATTGGAAGGTAGACAGTGAAAATTGGAAGGTACGTAGCCACTTAAACACAGGATTGATTGCATATGAAGAACACTCATGTTGTCGGGGAACAATTAAGGTGATTTGAGTAGCAGAACGCCAATGTATTTGAGAATAAAGGTTAACCAGGTTTGTTCAACTGTGCTTCTTGACATGGCTCGATATTCCACCTCTAAACTTGATCCTGCTACTGTTTGGTTGCTACTTTGATGCCCAAGAGATGCAACTGATTATGTGGTACTCTTCTTGTATCAGGGCAGCCTTCCCAATCTGCATCACAAAAGCTTCTTGTATCAAGGCAACCTCCCCAATCTACATCATAAAAGGCATATAAGTTTAGTAAACTGTTTTTGTAAAAGGAGATAACATACTCAACGGTGCTTTTAAGTATCCTAGAATTTCACTTCATGGTTTTCAAATCCTTAAGCTTTGGTTGTTGGAGGTGTTGGCACACTTTATCAACGGCATGTATAATGTCCTCTTGTAAGAGTGAGGTATTGTAGGGAGCTAGCAATGCTTTTACACTTTGTTGCACCAACAAGATCGTTGTCGTTGGTTGATGCTACTATGGAGAGTACCAACCATAGATGTACTACTGTGCAACCTCCAACATCCTTGCCTTGTTGAGTAGATCTTTGATGTATTTTCGAGGTGGTTTTGTGAATTTCCACTCAAGGAAGAAATGTAGGGACCCAAGTCCTTTAATGTAAATTCAAAACTCAACATGTTGATTAGTTGTTCCATGTGACCTGTGTGATCTACATAGATTATCGAGTTTTTGTTGAAAGATAAAGAGTGATGCATCCAAACATGAGCAAGTAAACCGAACGATTTCCTATGGTAACAAGTTCCAATTGAGAAGGATTCTCATCCCTAAGACATGAAAATTTAAGGGCTCCAATGATTACCTCACGTGATAAAATTTATTTCCCAATTATATATTTGTAGAATCAACTATAATAGTTGCGAATAGACTTTTCATATATGTAAATATAGCACCAGAAATAAGATTTTGAAATATCACAGAAAAATTTGTAAGGTATGTTTCTATCACTAGACGTCTACTGCGATGTTAAAATGAAAAATGGTGGATAAAAATAACTAGGCAGTTCAAATAGATCGGATGGGTTGTGAATAGGAGAAAGACGAAATCTTCCCAAACAGAAGTAATTCTTCAGCCTAGGCCACTTTGTTTGGGACACGTGCATGTCGTGCCATTATAACCAGGGATGAAGGGGAGCAGTGAGGACACGCAAGCTGCACCGCTTGGGATAGTCTTGTCGAATGTGGTCATTCGAAGATAAAGCTGCGTGGATGTGTGGGTTGCACTACTTGTATCTACAGGGCACATTGGCCATAAGTGTAAGCTGCATGTGGTGGGTGGAGGCTCGACAGCCATTTTGGCTGCACTGCTTGTTCTAACATTTTCCTTCTTTTCTCTTTTTTTTGGTTACCACTTGTTTCTTTATTAGGTGTCAAGTTTAGGCGGTAATGAAGTGGGGTGGAGATTCGAATTTCAAAATTGGTCGTGATGACGCTTTGATATTCCCATCTTATTTATTACAGAACTTTTATTTTCTCTGTTTCTCTCCTTTCTTCCATTTTTCCTTTTTTTTTTTTAATTTCTTTCTTCTATTTTCGTTTTTTTTTTCTTTTCCATTGTTTCATCTTCCTTTTCACTGCTTTCTTCTTTTCTTCTTCCTCGTTCTCCACTGCTTCATTCTTTCATCTGCTTCATCCAATTTTTTTTGTTTTGCTACTCTCTGGTTCATGTATTTCGTCGGCATTTTTTGTGGGTTGCTATATTGTAACTTTAAGTAAAGTACCTCTTATACTACTCTCGCTTTACGTTACTTTTGTATATGATATGTCGAGGTTCGGCAATTTTCACGATCTAGGTCCTTTTGACTCATTTTTTGAGACTTAGGAGGCCTCTAATGCTTTTGAGCAAGTTTTCATGTCACGTTCTTCTCGAAGGTAGGCACCTCGGGCGGATAAAAGGGGAGCATGTCATTCCTACCCAAGTGGTGTTTCCTGACAATACTCCGAGAATACGATCATCCATCATTCAAAATGATCTAGGTGTGTTCTGCGCTCGTTACAAGATTCCCGCCACCATCATTTTTTGCGTGCTTGATAAACGAGAACAAATGACGCACCCACTGCCAAGAGAGATTCCCTTCTATACAAAGATGTTACACTACGGCATAAGGTTGCCTCTACACTACTTTATTAAACATTTTTTAAGCTTTTTTAATTGGCTGGGACCCAGATGGTACCAAATGGATGGTCCACGATTTTGGGGTGTTATGTTGCTTCGAGGCAATTGGGCGGAGGCACAGAGATCAATCTAAAAGCCATTGCCAATTTTTTTTTAACTGAAAACCGCTCCACCGAGGAAGAATTCATATTTTTACATGTCAAAACGTGCGGGGGCATGGCCGGTTGAGTCCAAAAAGAGCGCCCCATCTGCGGCCTCACCGGATTCTTTAGTGGAGCCAAGCAGTGTAGCCACCGCGGTCGCGCTGATTTCTTCAGTCGAATTGGGTAGTGCAGTCGTGGCGTCCAAACCATCTCCTAGCGGAAGCAACGCATCTGGTGTGAGCGTGGTGGATTCTGAATGGGCTAGCTAGGAAAGAAGGCTAAATCTCAAGGCCTTTCATAGGTTTCTGGCGATCCAGTACTCTAGCTCGATAAAAAGATAAAAGGACAAATTATTCTTTATCAGTGGTGACTGGTTGACCACGATGCTGCCGATCATGATTCGTTCGTCTTTCCACCCAAGTTCGGACAACCGAGTCAGTGATTCTTTACTGTCCCAATTTTCCAGCTTGATTGGTTATTATTGTTTTTTTTTTTTAACTCGTGTTTTTCGTAGGTAGTGCAGGTTCAACCGACCTCTGGCAATGATGTTAGTTGCTATCTATAGGAGATCCAGGTGACGTTTCCTTGATCGCTAAGTGGTACCTGAGACTCTACCGGCTACCTCAGCTCACCCATCCTATTCCAAACTCAAAAGTCGGGATACTCGTGGGCGAAAGGATTACATGTGAGGACCTATTTTGCTTAACTGTGAGGACCGACTAAAGGCATCATAGATGGCTGCGGCTGGCTGGTGGGGGAGGAGGCAGAAGTGAGACAGCTGGCGCAGTCTCTCCCTTGGAGGAATCCCCGATTCGGCGACGCTGGCAAGGAGGCGCCTCATTGCTCTAGAAGAGCCGCCCTACTCTGTAGCCTAGGAAGCCGCACGTTTTGCTGCCTGAGCATGAAGACAGTCAACAACGGATGTGTAAGGCAAGGCTTCAGAGTTTGCACCTACAAAAAAATATGGAACAATTACGTCACAAATAATTTGGTCTTTATAGTTGTTGCCAATGGATAGAGGTACCATACATATACTAGTAACTGGCGTCTCTCCTCTCTTTTTAATCCAACTGATTTTGTAAGGATTAGGATGAGAAGAAACCACATTTTCAGTACTACCACTGACAATAATGACATTGCGTACTTTTCCATTAATTGTACATTGGGTACAAAACAAATAGTGTCTTCAAGGAAAGAGTCGGTTTTTTGGAGTGAGTAGAATCTGTTCAAGAATGCAGGAAATTTGTTCTCCATTATCAGGTTCAACAAACAATTTTTCATCGCCCTCTTCTTAATCAAGTTATGGTTCAAGATCCTCCTTATCATCCATGATATGAATGGCCTTCCTTTGAGAACATTCGTCTGAGAGATGCCCAGTTCGCCCGTAACAAAAGCATTTTTCCAAAGTGGGTCGGGTGTAGGCATTGGCAACTTTCTTGGATGTATAAATGTCAATTTGTTTAGTTTCCTCGACCGCCTTGCCCTTAGAACTGGAGGCCATATGTTGATTCAGGAGTTTTTCATTAGCCGGTAGCAACTTTTTTGGCTAAAGAAGTATCCCCAGTAGCTCTCCTGTGATACTGGAATTTATATTTATTAGCCTGTTGTTCCTCAATGGTGACAGCAGTGGCAATAGCCTCATTGAGATACCCTATAAGCTGGACCTGAATCCTTTCCTCGATGTCATTACAAAGGCCCCCAATGCATCGAGCCACTTGATAGTGTTCATTCTCTCCAAGGTTTGTTCGAGCACCTAACCAATGGAACTCCTTGGTATATTCAGTTATAGATCTTGTTCCTTAACGGCAATTGTGATATTGGTTGTATAGTATTTGCTCATAGTTAATGGGCAAGAACCTTCCCTCATCAACTTTTTCATTTTTTCCCATGTCTGAATGGGGTTCTTGCCAAAAAGCAGTCTGGTTGGTTTCCAATTGCTCCCGTCGTGCGGATGCTCTACCTTTGAGATTGAGAGCGACTAATTTTACCTTCTTGTGGTCCGAGGTCGACATATAGCCGAAGAAGCTCTCCACATTTTTTACCCATTCGAGAAACCTTCTATTTCTAATTTTTCATCAAAAGTAGGAAGGTCAATTTTCATTTTATATTCACTGTAACCTGGGTTTTGTTGTTCTTGACATGGGAATCGGCCCCTGCCGTCCCATTCCTTAATGTCATCTTCATGACTGGACGAATCTGCCTGATACTCCCGCCGATGATGTATGGGTTGACGCCTAAGAGGGTGAAACTGGTTGTCATAATATTCTTGATATCTTTGAGGTGCAGGTAATGGTTCTTGAAAGAATCTTGCGACGAGTAAAGGTTCTTGGACAAATCTTGGAGGTGAGATTGTTTGATCTTGTTATTTTAGCTTTGTGATCCCCCACCAGAAATTCTTGGTTGGTTTGAAAGTTGATATTATCCAAACGAGCCATTACATCTTGTAGGAGTTGTCGGATCTCCACCACACTCCGCTAGACATTTTCGACTGTCCCTTCAACCATCATTAATCGACCGGTTGTGGATCGTGGGGAGAGGATAGAAGGTTGTTCCATCTCTTTTGGTGCAAGAATCTCCCAAACTAGAGCGGTTCTTCTTTCCTGCCATCGAGAGCCCAAGGAATCAAGGTGTTCTGATGCCAAACTTGGTGTAACTGAAAGGGAATAAATGTTATTAAAAGGTTATGATCTTTAAAGGGGGAAGAGGACTCCTACTATTTATAAGAGGAGTCTCGACTAAATGCTAAAAGACTAGTCATTGGGCCCTTAACGACCAACAACAAACTAACTACAATATAACAACTAGTTTAGAGAATAAAGACTAATCGATTACATCATCTTCAGTGGAGCATCCTTCAGTAAAGAAATTCGCAATGACTCCTACATTGAGCACCTAACCCCCCGCCCAATTGCCTCCGAGCCACAACACCCCAAAATCGTGGGTCATCCATTTGGTACTATCTGGACAGAGCCAAATGGAAAAAGCTTAAAAAATATTGAATAAAGGGGTGTAGATGCAATCTTATGTCGTAGTTAAACATTTTTTTATAGAAGGTCATCCCTCCTGGTGGGAGGTGCATCATTCATTCTCCCTTATTAGGCACGCAAAGATTGATGGTGGCGGAAATCTCATAACGACTGCAGAGGATGGTTAGATCGTTCCAAATGATGGATGATCGTATTCCTGGAGTATCGCCTCGAAACACCGCTTGGGCAGGAATGACATACTCCCTTTCTATCCTCCCCGAGGTGCTTGCCTCTGAGGAAAAACATGACGCGAAATTTGCTCAAAATTATTAGAGGTCTCCCAAGTCTCCAAATGAGTCTAGAGGACCTAGATCGCAAAATTCGCTCATCCCCGACATATCATATACAAAAGTAAAGTAAAGGGATAGTGTAAAAAGTACTTTACCTAACGTCATCGAAACAGAACAGCAACCCACAAAAAAACACCCACGAAATTCATGAACCAGAGTAGTAGATAAAAAAAGAATATATATATATATAGAAGAAGAAAGAATGGAGTAGTGGAAAACAAGAAAGAAGTAGAAAAGAAGTAGAAAGCAAAAAGGGAGAAGATGAAACGAAGGAAAATGGAAAAAATGAAAATGGAAGAAAGAAATTAAAAAGAACGGAAGAAAGAAGAGAAAAAAAGTTTGTAATAAATGAGGTGGGAATATCAAAGTGCCATCATGACCAGATTTGAAATTCAAATTGCAACTCCACGCCAATTCATTGCTACCTAAACTTGACACCTGCATTAAGAAACACGTGGTAACAAGAAAATAAATAAATGTTAGAGCAAACAGTGCGGCCAAAATGGTCGCCCTGCCTCCACCCAACGCGCACGTGGCTTGTGCTTGGAGCAAGTAGTGTGTCTAAAATGGCCGCCCAACCTCCACCTACTGCATTCGGCTTGCAGTTGAGGCGAATGAGTCTCACAAATACAAGCAATGCAACACACGTGTCCACGCAGCTCCATCTCCGAATGATCGCAGATGCATGATGAGAGTATCCCAAGCGGTGTAGCTTGCACGTTCGCACCGCTCCCCTTCATCGTTTGTTCCAACGGCACGACCCAAGCTGAAAAATTACTCCTAATCAGGAAGCCTCCTTAACTAAAGAATGAGAAAGAAGACTTCCACCCGGGGGGCACTGTTGAGGGCAGCACAAATAGCTTCACACTTAAGGTGCACCAAGTGTCACAATCGTACTTTAACGAGACTCAGGAAGCGATTGTGCGGCACTTGCTTTCACCCTTTAGCAAGTCAGCCAATGCGGAAACGAATAGCCGGTGGCACAAAGGCTATATGTCGCAACCTCCACCCCCGTTCTCGGGAAAACGGTTTTGGAAAACGGGGTTAGAGAAAAAGGTTTTGGAAAACGTTTGTAAGCATTTT